TGAGTTCTAACCTCATCTCCATCCTGTGTGTCCTCATTCACTCTCTTGTAGCCACCTCAGCCTCATCATTGTTCTGCAGACTTACCAGCCCCCTCAGGGCCTTTGAACTTCTTGTTTCCTCTATGTGGAATCCTCTTCCCTCAGACTCTCTTGATTCAGCTCCTTACTCAAATGTCACATTCTCACCAGGTCTTTCCTAGCCACTTTCTTCAAAATTTATACTACCACACCTAGCCACATCACACACACACACACACACACACCTGTCTTCCTTCCTGGCTTTATCTTTTTCCTCTGCAGCATGTTCTTCTCTCTGATATCCTTCCACCTTCCTTGTTGATGCCACGCATTGCCAGTCTTCCCCAGCGAAATGCAAATGTCACACAGGCAGGGAAAGTGTGAAATGCCAGCACACACCCACATGGAGACGTGTGCCAGGCAGCTGGACTGCTAAGTCTGGAATAGGAGAGCAGTCTGAGCTGGGACAGAAATGTGAGCATTGTCACTCTGAAGCCAGTCTTTAAAACCATGAATGTGTATGACATTGCCAGGAGACTGCAGTGAACAGAGAGCACCAGATTAAATGAGGACGGAGCAACAAAGGAACTGACAAGGAGTGGGAAAACTATAGCGGTGGCCCCTAGGAACCACAGGAGAGATGAGTGGAACCTAAAGGAACAGGAGCAAGGTCAGAAGGCTCAGGGATCTGGGAGTGGGGTGTGGGGAAAGCAGTGGTTGACTGGTGATGTGCAGGTGGGGAGGAGGAGCAGCAGTGTGGGCTAAAAAGGGTGGTGAGACAGGATCACAGCCAGAGAGGCAGCAGCTGTGACAGGGTGAATAATAGACAGAGGACCTCCACACAGCGGGGAAGCCAGCCTTGGTGGGAGAGGGAAGAGGGTCTCCTTTCTTATCAAGAAGGAAGTGAGGGCAAAGGCTCAGGCCAGTGGTGGGGGCTAGACAGGAGAGCAGGCTGGCTGCTCTGATGAAGAAGGCGTGGCAGCCAAGCACATAAAGGGGGAAGCTGGGAGAACAGGACAGGGGAGAGAGCTGCCAGGAGGGAGCCAGGGCACAGCTGAAGTAGGACTTAATGTGCTCAAGGAGTGGCTCACTTGCTCCCTGATTGAGATCTGGCTGGATGAGTCCAACCTAAATTAAGAAGAATGTGGGTGTGGCAAAGTGGAGAAGGGAAGGAGTATTGGCTAAACTGAGGAGGAAAGAGGGGATAGGAGAAATCCAGGGAGCTGGCAGAAGGTCAGAGTGTGGATGACCAAGGGAGAGGACAGGAAGTTGTAGCCGGCTGTGGAAAATGGGTTTTAAGGGAAGAAATGAAATGCTCAGGCTTCTATCTTCAAGGGACCCTCACACCACCGCCAAGCTGCTGTGTGGAGAATGTGCTGTGGGGGCACAAGAGCAGGAGGGCTTGGGGGACAGATGGGCCCTCCAGGTAAACAGGATGGTGGCTTGGGCCAAGGCAGTAACAAGAAGATGGAGCAAAGTTGGGGGGGACTCAGGGGCTGTCAGGAATTCAGGTGCATGAAAGCCAGGGCGTGGTAGAAAGAGAAGAGTCCATAAATGTATCAGGCACCCTCTGTGAGCCAAGCATTTAATGACAGGATAAGCAGGAAACCAATCTTTATCTCCAGTGATTCTAGCCCTTAGAAGTAAATGGTGCGGGGGGGGGGGATCTTCTGGGTCAAGAGTGGATGGTACAAGGAAGGCTTCCAGAAGGGGGCCCCTGGACCTGGCAGTACTCAGCATGGAGGAAGGGCATCCAGGAACACTATGTGCAAAAGGCCAAAGGCCAGACTGGGGAGCATGTCATGGCCAGGGACAGCCCAAGATCACTGTAGCCACATGGCTATGGTGCACAAAGACAGACATAAGACTATAGAGAGATGTTGGTGCCACAGAAAAAGGGGTGGTGCCAAGTGCCTGGATGAAGAGGTGAGAGCTGGAGGACAGGCATCCCATGAGGGCCTCCTTTGCAAGGACAGCTGCCAGATGAGTTATCCTTGCTGCAAGAAAAGCTGCAGACAGTGTGGGGAGTGGGTGAGGGAGCACACAGGGGCCAAGAAGGGGGTTGCTCAGGTAGAGAGACAGAGGGGCTTTGGCCCTGAGCCCCGCACATACCCACTGAAACTTTCCTATTGTCTTCATCTAATTTGTGTTGTTATAATAAAATAACTGAAGCCAGGTACTTTATAAAGAAAAGAGGCTTATTTGGCTCATGGTTCTAGCAGCTGGAAAGTCCAAACAGCCTGGCACCAGCATCTGACGAGGGCTGCCTGGCTGTTTCACACATGGAAGAGAAGGAGGAAGGGATTTGGCTGTGTGCCAAGGGGCCAAGTGTGTGTGGTGGCCTTGCTTTAGAACCACCAACTCCCGTGAGAACCAACCCAGGCATGTGAGACCCAACCCACACCCACCAGACAGCATTAACTCATTCATGAGTGTGGAGCCACTGCCTAGCTACCTTTCACTAGACAACCCCCCCCACCCCGCCTGCACCGTCTTAATGTTTGCACCACCTCAACATCCCCACACCAGGGACTAAGCTTCTTTGGGGGGAGAAACTGTATCCAAACCATGGAGTCTGTATAGGAGCAGGCAAAGGTATGTGCCAGCAGCTGGGGAGGGACAGGGAAGCCAGGCAGGAGAGGCAGCTGGGTGACCCAAGGGACTAGAGGAGGCAAAAGATGATAATGGCTGAGGAGGCATTTGTCCACTGATGCCTCACAGCAGGGCGTCATTACTGGGACAGTGCTCATTCTCAGGTTCTTGCAGCAGCTCCCCATTCCCCCCACTCATGGCACACAATGGGGAGGGAAATGCCCCCAACCCTCTGTCCCCCAGATATCCTTACAGGAGGCTGTGGGCACTGCGAGAATGCTAACGGCAGCAGTGGAGGAAGCAAGGCAGGGGTCGGGAGAGGCTGGAGCCCTCTGGGCAGAGGCAGTGGAAGCCTCAGACCTGGAGGAGAAGAGGAAAAGGCTCTTGAGAGCCCAAGGCACAAATGTCTGCATTTCCTAGGCAACACAGCTACACACAGTGGGCAGAGAGCCAATAGACAAGTGCTGTCAGCACCCCCATAGGCCCTAGACCTTAAGTGCACATGGGCCCACTTCTGCCTGAGCACCTGCCTGCTTCACTTTCCCAGGGATTCTGTCCATCTTCATCTACCCACCTAGCAGGCAGTGAGTGGAAAAGAATCAAGACCCAGAGGCAGCTGCGCAAAAACTAATAGGCATGAGTGTGTAAATAAATGCCCCACCTCCCTCTCCCACTGGTGGGGTAGCTCTGGCATTCATGTTCTACATAATCACCCAGAGCGCCCCTAGTGGGATTAAGCCCCAGTTCCTCGCATCAGCAACTAACCCGGTAACACATCTCTTTCCATTTGTCCCTGTGCCTTTTCCCCACTCCAGGTGTTGCATTTGAAACCTTGTCCCAGAGTCTGTTTCTGGGACAGCCCAAAGTAAGACAAAACCTTCAACAGAACACAGTGGAGAAATCTTGGGGCTATAAGGCTACATTTGAAGTCCAGGTCCTTCATATGTAAGTCATTCCCAGTTCATAGCAGGCTTTGCACAGATCAACTGAGCATAAATTAGAATATTAATGTTCACAACAAGATCTAGGCTGTACTATAAAATGTCCTGTTGCCCACCAATCTAAATAAAAATGATGCTGGTACTGGTGCCCTTTGGCCAACTTCAAGCTCGCCACTGGAAAGCATAGTCCACTGATTTGTCATCCTGGGCTAAATATAAAAGAATTGTAGCCTGAGTCACAAAGTTATTTTCAGCGCCCAGTCTGACTTTGCAGCCATTGAGGGATGCTGTTCTTAAGGACCACCTTCCTGGAGGCTGAGGTCCACTCTGGTGGTCCCCACATGTCAGAGACTGGCCTACCCCTTTCCCAGGAAAAGTGGGCTCCTGGACACATCCTGACTGATGCTCCAGCTACCCCAAACCCACCATGTCTCAACTGTTGTTTGTGGCCACTTTTTAGAGGTAGAAACTATATCCTTTCCAAGGACTGTATTTCCCCCTTTCTTTCTTTCTTTCCCCTCCACCATCTGTCCCCAATACAACTTTCTGAGTTTACCCTGCAGGATATTCCCTTGGCATCCTCTTGCCCACCTGTCCCTTCCTCTCTTCCTCTGTCCCTTGCCTCCCACTGACTTCTGCCCATCCTGTGAGATGCCTAGAAGCTGTTGCTGAGCCTGGGCTCCCTCACTTTATGTACCTACTGAGCACGACTATTGGCACCTGTGTTTCAATATCTTGTCCATACTGCTGCCTAAGGATCAAGGGCCATGTGTCAGTATTCTCACATCTAAAGCCCAGCACAGTGCTGGCATTGGGATATGCATTGGTCAACAGTGACATTCGGTGTTCTTATTCCTTCTGTGCTAGGGACCACTTAGGCATCTGGTGAAGCCTGTGGCTTCCTTCTGAGTTATGCTTTCAAAAGCATCAAATACAAAAGATTCCAAGTGAAACTGACTTTGTTGAAAAAGTTGTCAAAATATTTTCACATGCAATTTGTGACTTAGTGAGAAGTGTGCTTTGATGTCAAAGCATTAAACAAGATCTAGTGGTGAGTTCTAATGCCTGTCATTTCCAAATAGTGAAATACATAGAGGATATTTCAAAACATCTGCAACAATTGAATGGGATAGGAAAATATCTGCTGGAGCTGCCAATATTGCCCCAGTTTTGATCTACAAAAACAGCATGGTTTTGCCTAACTCTTCTCTGGTTTGTTGTCTACCCTGGTTCAATTTCAGGGAGAAGGGAGTAGATGTGAAAATGCCTATTTTCCCCGTCCAAGTTCACGGAGCTCCTGAAGAATATGTGGGAGCCCTTAAGGAGGGATCCCTTAAGAGCACCTAGCGGACGCTTTGGCCCTGGCTCGGGGAGGGTAAGATGCTCACCCCTTTGTGCCCAGGGCTCCCCGAGGGAGCAGCTAACCGTCTGGGTCTCTGTTTTCAACAGGCTCTCTGTTCCCGCAGCTGAAGCCGTCCGAAGGTGTGTTCAAGGTTATCTTCTGGCTCGGCTACTTCAACAGCTGCGTGAACCCTCTCATCTACCCTTGCTCCAGCCGCGAGTTCAAACGCGCTTTCCTCCGCCTCCTGCGCTGCCAGTGTCGCCGCCGCCGCCGCCGCCGCCCTCTCTGGCGCGTCTACGGCCACTACTGGCGAGCCTCGACCAGCGGCCCGCATCCCGACTGCGCCCCCAGCCCGGGCGCCGCGCCCCCAGGGGCCCCGCTGGCCCTCATCGCGCCCTCTGCCCCCGGCACGCCAGAGGTCCAGGCTGCGGTCTCCAGCCATCGAAAGCCGCCCAGCACTTTCCGCGAGTGGCGGCTGCTTGGGCCCCTCCGGAGACCCACGACCCAGCTGCGTGCCAAGGTCTCCAGCCTGTCGCACAAGATCCGCTCCGGGGGCGCGCAGCGCCCAGAGGCCCTGCGCACTGAAGTGGAGGCCGTGTCTCTCGGAGTCCCCCAGGATTTGGCAGAGGGCGCCACCTGCCAGGCTTATGAAGAAGCTGACTACACTAACCTCCGGGAGACTGATATTTAAGAACGCCGGAGCTAGGCTGGGGAGTGTGCTGGGGGCGGGGCGGGGGGGGGGCTGGCTTTGTTCACGAGGCCTGTGTGGATCAGGGACTCGAAAACCAATCCTGTGGTGGCTCTGTGGCTTCCCTAAACTACTGGGACTGGACTTTGGGGTTGGAGCCCTTGAAGGCTGGGCAGTCATGGGGCCCCCTGCTGGACACAGGTGCCCAGAACTCTTTTGCTAGGAAGGAAGGGCTGCAGGATCCGTGAAGCCTTTCGGCCCGTTCCCTATTTGAGAAACTGGTCGGCCTGGCCTTGAAGCCTGCCCCTGCCCCTGCCCCTGTCCCTGCCCCTGCCCCTCGGGAGGAAGAACACGGAGGCCTTCTCGCCGCCCCCTGGGAAATGGTCAGTGGGGCCAGGCGGCCTCGGTGGTCACATTTCTCTTTACTGCCGACTGGAGGAACCCAGTGCACCCGTCACCAACCAAGTTTTGATGGCATATTAGATGGCTGTCGTACAAACCTGTTGTATTTACCCTGGGCCCACTGCCCTAACCCACACTCCCATGATCCTCCCTGCACACCTGTCACCTGGTCCTGCCCCTTTCCTTCCCCTTAAGGGGCTTACTGTTTACACTCTGTACATAGCTCATTGTGCCTGTGCCCATCACTTCTTGCTGGGATTCCAAGCTGCCAAATGGGGAGAGCTTTATTTGTCATTTTGAAACATATTTATTGGTAAGAGTACTTATATTTTGTCCAAACTGTGCAAACTGTTCCTCTTTAGCTTATACTCCATAAAAAACTTTTTTTCTAAAAACTCTAGGCCAACAGGATAGACTGGGTCTACATTGACCTTTCTAGTTTCAACCTGTTTCTTTAACTGATGGCTGTTGTCCTTCAGGACTTTTTGCATAACCAAAGGACCTGGAAGTCTTGTTGGCTTTTAAAATTTGCATGATTAGTCTTGGAAACCAAATAGTAATTATAAGCACAAATTTTCCTTGTCAGTCTTCCCACATGCATCTGTGATGTTCTGAGGGCCTCTGAAGAAGATGGCCATCAGTTAAATTGGTAAATGTTATTTTACACGAAAAAAATATACAAACCCAAGTAGACAAGTATACATGGATATTGTGAGAACCCATACCTGGAAACCAGGTTTGTTAGCTTTGAGTAAAATCTCATTCCTAGGGATTGTGGGCAAGTCAGTCTTCAGCTAGATGACACCAACCAGTGACGATTGTGTCCGGTGAGCTCTGAGGAGGAGAGCTGGATAAACAATACCTAGGGGTGCCTGGGGTTGTTCTGAAACTGGAAGAGCCAGCTGCTGGGGCCAACATGGACAAGTACTGTAAGCCAGGTTTCTGGTCCTGTACCAAGGAGGTAGTCTAAGTGAAAGGTTACAGTAGTTTCAAGCTTTTGATGCCAGTTTCACAACGTTAAAAGGGCAGGCAATGCAGGGCTTAGAAGCAGACATTTCACACGTGGGTCTATAACAGGATCTGAGCTTGCCCATCTGGCTTCCCCCAGTCCCCCAGGCACAGGAAAGGAAGTTTGTGGCAGGTTCTGAGACACTGCTGAGCACACCAAAGAGGACCCCACATTGGGGCATATTAGCTGCCCTAAAGCTAAGGGACAGCTCTTGCTGTCTTTTCACAGAGGTTGAGGCCATCAGTCAAGCCGGGGGTTAGTGACAGGACAGGCCCCACTGGCAAGTGATTTGACATTGGCCTCCTAGGCAGGGATAACCCAACTTGTTTCAGTATCAGTCTTGGGTTTGAGAAGAGTCCCTGAGTCTCTTTGGGCAAGGTGAACATTGTCTTCCACATGCACGATAGTTGAGTCCATAGGTGGTGGCTTCATTCAGAAGGTTTGCGGGAGGACTCCCTGCCCAGGATAACCCAGTAGAACTGGAGGCAGGAGGTGCCAGCTTGCTCAGCACTTGCTGCAGGCATCATGATCATGTGCAAAACATTCCTAAAGCTCAAGCCTCAGCCCTGTCCCCAGACATAGAGACTCTGCACACAGCTGCTTTCTCCTGCACCCTCCACACTGGGCACTGAGCCTGCAGGCAGTGCGGAAGGGAAGGGAGCCCCAAAGAGGCCACGTGGTGGCAGGAGCATCTGGGACCTTGTTCTGATAACCAATAAAACACTGCTGCTGACCTTGCTGTTGGGAACTGACAGGCTCACAGAGTGGCCAGGAGGAGTGGAGGGAATAGCAACAGCCCTTCTGGAGAAGGAGTGTTGGCAAGTGATTTCAGGAACTGGAAGATGTGAATTCGCTGCACCATTTCCTGGGTCCCAGCTGCCTCAGGCCCTTCTCTTAGAGCTGATTAGAGGGTGTTCCTGAGGTGCACGTAAAAGATGAGGCCATTGCCTTCAGGGAGTGGGAATTCCTTTACATAATCTTCAAGGGATGGGGGCCTGAAGGAATCTGGGAGTAGATAAGTATGTTCCTGTGAGATGTGACAGGGACCGGAGCAAGCTTCCAAGGACACTGGCATCTGCCCAAGTCACCTTCCGCTATCCTTAGCCTCATTCCTGCTCCCACCCAGGACCCCAGGGGTAGTCTGCTGGGCTCTTGCCACCCATCTTGCCTTGCTTCTCACACTCATCCTCAGACCAGGGCCACTTTTACAAGTCACCTAGGACCATCCATTTCCCTGGTCTCCTCCCCTGCATCGCTGCTGCAGTCCACACTGGTGGCCTCAATCCAGGCTGGTGGCCACCCCTAGCCTCCTAAAGTGGCCACTCCATGCCTCTGGGCCATGCTCCTAGGGTCTCTTCTGATCTGCTGACCACGCTCCTTCTGCCTTCTCCAAAGCTCCCATCCCTGCCCTTCAGTGTTCCCTGGGGTTTTAGTCCCCTTTTTTCAACTTTCCACATAGTCTCCTCCACTCCACATCCACTTGAACATAAATGACTCCCAAGAGACTGTCTATAACTCAGGATGTGTGAGCTCTTGGGTGACCCCTAGCACCCTAAATACAAGCCCTGGGGCAACTGGCCTCTTGCAAAGCCCCTAAGCCTGTCCTACACTCTCCACTGTCCATCTGCCAGAGCCTTCTCATCCTCCCAAGATCTCCTTTTCAGATCCCCTGCTCTGAGCTAACCCACGAGCGTCCTGCAGTGGCCTTGGTTACTTTCATCCTGCTCATTCTGGACTAGAGCCCATGTATGGCCCCAGAGAGCCACTGCACCATGAACTTCTTCAGGAACACCCACTTACCCTACATACTGTCCAGTTCACCCAGTCCTCTCCTCTGGTGCCCCATTTCCCCTACAGGTGAAGGCACTGCCCCACCACAGTCAGTCCCTCTGTCCCTCCTGTTTAGGGTGCTGACAGTTTCTGGGGAAAGATTTGGGACCTCCGTCACCCTACCCTCAGTGACCTGTCAGAGCTCCAACTCCTCAAAGCCCTCTTGACCCTGATTCTATTCCAGTCCTGTTATACCCCCAGGGGCTACATCCACTTGGAAAGTAATTTCTTTTTTTTTTTCTTTCTTTCTTTCTTTTTTTTAAATTTTTTGTGGCTCCAGGGAAGCACAAAACCAGATGCTTCTAAAGGCTAAACTGGTCCCCCAGCTTTCGGCCTAGCCTTTTCGGCCTAGCCTAGGGCTCCCTGGGGAGCCAGGTGGACCCAAGTGACCCTGAGAGGTGGGGTCTTTAAGAAGGGGGGTTTGGCACTGCTTTCCAGTGGTCCAGGCTGGACTGCTCCAACTTCCCTTCTCCCACCCTGTCCCTTGTGGGGAACAAGGAAACAAAAGAAATGCTGAAAGCCTCCCCTCCCCCAGGGAAGGTACATTCTGAAACTGCTCTGGTCTAAGGGAACTAAAGGAAGACTGCAGGATGCATTTGGAATCAAGAAGAAACTCAGGAAATGGGGCCTCTACAGGCTGAGCTTTCAGAGGCAGGAGCCAGAGGTAAGGATGCATTGGAAACATCTGCAGGAACCTCAGCTGTGACATTTGTGCGTGTTTCTTTCACTAGTCACCATTCACATGACTGCCATATTGTTTGTGTCTATCTCTTTCTGGTGCCAGAAACCAAAGAAGGAACCTCAGTTCCTTTTCCTGAGAGAGAAATCAGAATGGTCCCATTCCTCATTTGAGCCAACTCACAGAAGTCACGGGTCACAGGCCAACCTAAGGATTGGCAGATTTTGAGGCAGATCTACCAGTAGGGGCAGGCAGGTAGGAGTAATATGGGTCATGTGGTACAAAGAACCTTTGGGAGACCAAGTGTGAGAAGCAAGTTTCTCAGAAAGAAGGGGAGCAGTGCAGACAATGATTGACATCCTAGCACATTGGGTCACCTGAGAACATAGTAAGCAATAGGGAATTTGATCAATAGCTGCATAAATCCCAGGACATTCATTTTCTCACTTGACAAGTTACAAGGTAAATCTGTTGCCAGAATTGACAAACTCTATCTGCTTCATTATTTTTGTTGGATGGGCTTCTGTTCTCTGTTGCCCTATGATCAATGACTCCGTATTTCATTTGTTGTTCATGGCAGAGAACAAAGGAGAAGAGGTTTGGCTCTAGAACCTGTCTCCTTCCATCAAGCTATGAAGAGCTTGCCCAGAGCCACCCTCCACTCAGGGTCTGATTGGCCAGAACCAAGTTACATGGCCACCCTGCTGGGAAGATTAAGGAAGTAAGTGGGATTGGTTTACAGCAAGGATCTGAAAAATTCCACAGGCCCAATTCAGCCCACCACCTGACTTGTTACAGCTCACAAAGAGTGGGAGGAAAGTTGAAAAATTATATTTCATAGCTTATAAAAATTATATGAAAGTTAACTACATAATATCTTCAATTTGGCTCCTTAGCCCACAAGGTAAATTTTACTATCTTGAACTTTACAGGAAAAGTCTGTCAACACTTGTTTTAGGGCAATGGGGATCACTGATTGCCTCCTATTGGGCATAGTGCTACCCTGAACCAATATCAGGATCCTGGCAACAAGAGCCCTCAGGGAATGGATGTGCAGGCACCTTCAGGGTCTGCTACATGTGTCATCAATGCATTTCAAGCTTGTATGC